GCGAGGCGGGCAGCACGGGGGGGTGGGAGGGGGCTAAGCAAGTGTCTGACACTACGGGGCAGCGTGGGACCCCCGTGCTCTGCCTACACCGGGCATCCTTCCATGTGCTCTCCATAAAACCCTGGAAAGGATCCCCCCTGGAGAGGCCCAGCCACGCGGGAGACTGGCCCTTCCACACTCCCTGCACTTCTCTAAAGCCCTTTTGTCTCCATCACCCTGACGCCAAGTAACACCTGGCACGGTAACAGGACACCGAGCAAGAAGCAAAGTGCTGATAAAGCGTGGGGTCTGGCGGGCGAGCGCAGCGGGGTCACCCGAGAGTGGTGACCTCAGCAGATGTCACCTTTTTTTTTTTTTCCTCCTGAAACCAAAGACCCAGGAATTTCTAAGGCATTCCCATGGTATGGGGATGCTCTGCCTGCTCCGCTTTTCCACCGTGGGCAGCCGAGCCCTGGGGTGCCGCGGCAGCCGGACTCACCAGTGCCACACGTGGCGGTGCACGTGGTCCAGGAGCCAAAGCGCCAGAGGAACTCGGTCTGCTCGATCTCGTTCTCGCTGTCCGCCGGGCGCTGGATGGTGTACTGGTACCGCACCCCGGGGTTGGTCTCCTGAAACAGCAGCTGCGGGGAGACAAGGGCGGTCAGGGAGGGGGCTAGTGGAGAGCAGTCAGGACTGGCCATTACACCCCAGGGGCTTCTCGGAAGATCACCACCTGCCCAGTACAGCCATAAGGATGCGATTCTCTGTCCAGCTCTGCACCAGGGCTGCTTTACCTGTACCCCAGCAACAGCTCACAACCATTTCAGAAACAGGGTTAGCAAATGGCTGCAGCAGTGTAGGAGCAGAAAAGCTGCCCCTGCTCAGAGCATTGGGCTTGTGGACATGTCAGGTAAAAAGAAAAAAAGGTAACAGTGAGAACGCTGGGAACCACCAGAACTTTTATGTCTCCCTTGATGAAGAGCCTGGAAGGATGTCCCTGTTAATCCCGTCCAGTCCCACTGCTGTAGGCAGCCCCTTCCAAGGACCTACTCACAAGGTTCAGCACGGTGAAGGGCCCAGGACGGCCAGACGGCCCCTTCCCTATCCCCTTCCCCGCAGTCAGAGCTGGGGCAGGGGGTTTTGCAGGTGCCACCACTGGCCCCAGCCCGGGGTCTGCAGCCCGTGGGGCAGGAGGGACCCTCCCACTGGTTGGGAGCACGTTGAGCAACATCTGCCCCTCTCCATCACTCCTCCTGAGCTCCCAGAGAGGGATGTTACAGCCGGAGGGAGGCTCCAACTGCTCCCAGCCCTGTGTGCTGGACCAGACGGACAGACATGCAGGCGAACATCAGTCACAGTGACCTGTCCTTTGGGATGGTGGCAGAAGGAAGGGAAGGGGACGCAGAGGAGGACTCAAACCTCCAGCCCCGCAGAGGAGGACTCAAATCTCCTCATCTCCGCGTGTCGCAGGGAGCATCGTGCTCCAGCAAGCGCCTTGAGGAAACACCGCAGCACATCTTGGCTCGAGGTGCCGGCTACCTGGCAGCTCCTGTTTGAAAAAAAAAACCCCGGGGGGGCGGCCCGGCCGGGGGGGGGGCGGCGCCCTGCCGTGCCCTGTGCCCTGCGGCTGGGGGTGCACCCGCCCCGGTGTGACACCCCACTCGTGCGGTGGAGGAACGGGCTGCGGCAAACAGGAGGAAGCCGCTGGCAGCAAACAGCAGCGATGGCGCCTGAAGGAATTTCCTTAATTGCTCCCCAAGTGAAATGGGTTCCCGCTGCTCCCAACATGCATGAGGCTGCTCCTGCGGTTGACACAAATCCTGCCCAAAGCACCGCCCGCACCAGTGCTCGGCAAAGGCTCTCGTGCGGTGGAGGAACGGGCTGCGGCAAACAGGAGGAAGCCGCTGGCAGCAAACAGCAGCGATGGCGCCTGAAGGAATTTCCTTAATTGCTCCCCAAGTGAAATGGGTTCCCGCTGCTCCCAACATGCATGAGGCTGCTCCTGCGGTTGACACAAATCCTGCCCAAAGCACCGCCCGCACCAGTGCTCGGCAAAGGCTGGGAGTTTAACCTTGTTTTTCTTAGCCTAAGCACCCTCACTATTACCAAAGCTTTGTTGTTCTTGGAGCTTTGGTGGGAGTGAGGGCATCTTTCCAAAACCTCTTCATGAATATCGCAACATTTTTGTCAAAAGGTTTTAATTAGGTTACGAATGCCAGAAAATGATTTGCGGGCGCTGAACACACCAGCGTTCCCATTAAGAGCAGCACTTGCTGGCAGACGAGCCCAGGATCCTGCTCACGTTTCACCCTGAGCCTCTGCTGGAAGAAAAGCAAAAGGCAAAGACTTTGGCTGCGCGGTGTGGCTGGGCTCCGGGGCGAGCTTCTGCACGGGGGCTGATGCTTGGGAAGAGCGCACCGGGCTGAGCCGCGATTGCCGGGGCCGAGGGGGTCCTGGGGCTCCGTGGGATGTACCTCCGCGGTGGTCACCACCTCTGCACCGCCAGGAACTTCAGCCTGGTGCCGGCTGTGCCATCGCCCATGGGATCACCCTCACCAGCTTCTCCAGGGAAAAGCCTGGCCTCCTGGGCATGAGGATGTTGGCTCCCGACAGCTTTGCATTAACTGGCAGATCCCTCACTCCTGACTGTCCCGGTGGCTGTTCCCAG